TACATATATCCATATCCATATTCATATTCATATATATATATATATATATATATTTATATAATATATATATATATATTATACTATATATCTATACATCACATTACATATACATATACATATACATTATACAATACATATACATTATTACATATACATATACATACATATACTTATACATATTTACTATATACATATATATAATATATATTATAATATATATTATTATATATATTATATATATATTATATATATATATATTATTATATATTATATATATTTATATATATATATATATATTATATATTATATTATATATATATATATATATAAGATATCAAATGTATGCAAACTAGTAACATGATCTTGTATCTTTTTTCAGGTCATACACCCTGTTTACCAGACTTACATGGAAAAACATTTGAAGGTGGCCGCAGAACAAGCAGCACAGCAAGCAATCTCAAGCACTCTCTCTAATGGGAAACTGAAGTCTTCGTGATCTTTCACACTTGTCATCACTAGAATACATTGACAATTACTAACTTAATTTAATCTGAAGTAAACTTTTCTTTCATAACCTAGGAAATACTGGAAATGATAACCAACAATAATATTTGTGATAGTAAAAATAGAGAAGGCCCTATCCATTAATAATATTCTCATTATTTTTACACTGCTTTTGTTTTTTCTATTTATGTTCATGTATATTACATATTTTAAACATGCTTGCTGCTCATATTGGTGATTTTAGATGATTTGGTTCTAAAGACCATTTGAGTTGCCCCTGAATAATGTGTGTGTGTGTTTGTGTGAAGGAATATTTTAGCATTGATGCTTTGAGCTAGTCTTTGGAAGTTCTCTTTTGTGCTAAGATTCTTGTCCAGCAGGATCATAACCAGACATCATTTTTCCTTTCAAGTGCCAAATATCTTTCAGAATAGTGCAAAGTGTTCTTTTTTCCTTATTGGTCAGTTTTTATGTTGATATAAATCACGTTTTTTTCTCTCTTTTTTATTGAAATGATTATTGGGAAGAAAGGAAGCACAAACTTTTTACTGCATACATTTTTACAAGGCTTAGAAACATGTTGCTGCTTGTTGATTATTGAATGAACACATTTAGTTGGGCAAGTCTTAGTAATAATTTATTTTGGCATATATGTATATCAATAGTAAAAGTCATCATTTGGGTGAGTGCTGGACATGTTCTGTATGCAGTTATCAAGCATAGTGCACTCCATAATAGGAGCTGTAGATGAATTCTGCCTGTTTCAAATATTTTATGATAATGTTTTTCAAAATTTGCAAATGCCAAACTTACATTGTGAACATTGTATATGAGGAAAGGTAACTATCTAAGTTTGTTAATCTTAAATTGATCTTTTGATAATTTGAAATTCTAGAATGGTCACATTTATTTTGTAGGTTGCCTATTAGTAATCAGTTGAAGGAAGAGTAAATTAGAATTTTGGGAGAACAGAAGTTGTCTGTGGTATGCTTGTAAGGGAAAAAAAATACTGTTTGTTTTATCTTCAATTAGTATTACATGGCAGCAAGCTGTGCCAATGGTTTATGAGTTAATGTATTATGCTTACATAAGACCCATGAAAAATTTTAATATTCCTTTTTTTTTTCTTGTATTCTTGTATTTTATGGCTGGTACTGTACACTTGCCTATCCTTACAATATTCCTCCTAAAATGTATTAATAAAAAGAAGGAAAATTTTTTGTTCATGGAAGTTTCATCATAAATATATATTTAAAAATCTGACAAATATATTATATCCATATTTAGTGTTTTGTCTCTGAAGGGTTAATTTTTGTATGGAAAGTGTTTTATGTGCATGTGCAGTTAGTTGGAATTTTCTTAATAGTGTGTGTTGTAGATATTGATCCACTAACATTGTACATATATAAATGTTGTATAGATTAAAGTAATTGATTGTTATAACATTGCAAAGTCAGGTGTTGCATGGCCAAAGTAACTGCATGGAACTTTGTAATAAAATCAATATTTTAAAAGAAAAAAATGCCATGCTGCAGTACACAAGAGCTGTTGCAGGTGCAGTCTATTTTGGTGCATTGGTCATTAATGACCATGTCCATCATACTTGGACACTCATTGACTGTTGCTTATGTTGTTGAAAATGGACGTGGTATTTTAAAAACTGAAAGAGGACAAGGAAATTTAAATATTTTGTTCTTTTCCCAGGAAGGATTGCCAAATGAGTGTGCAATATGATATTGGTTGTTCAAAGTTTACATAACCATTTAGCCAAAAGATATGGTTTTAAACACCATCAAGCAAAGCTGAGGTGGAAATTAACAAATAAATCAATACCATTAAATTTTAACTGTATTGTGTAGATTTTTTCTAGAACTTGAGATTTTGTGATTGTGTAGTTACTCATCTTTTTATAATTCATATATACTACTATTTGGTAATCTTTTTTATCAGAAGCCAAATGAATTCCCATTGTATTTCCATGCCTGAAAAATATAAACAATGATCTTCCTTAAATATTGCATTCAAGTATAGTCATGTATTGTTGAATGTTACAGTTACAGAAAGTAAGATATTTTTTTGTCAATTTATTTTTACCCTGAGTCCTTCACAATGGTTTGATCTTTACTTATCTTTACAACATTGCATGCTTGGGTAATAATATTGTTTGTTTTGTAATTGTTTCTCTAAACTTCTTTCATTTAAAATGCCACAGGTAATGTTATAATATAAGCTACCAATATTGGCAGATCTCATGTGGTCTGCCAAAAGTGCCTTGCCATCTCCAGGAGGATTGTTTGTTGAAAGTAGCTAATATATATTTCTGTTGTACAAGATGATCCACCTTCTCACAGACAACAATTCTACACTTCTGTAATATGCAGTTTAATAAATCCTCAGATACACTTGCCTGAATCATTGCTCAGAGCTTTAGTATTGGTGACTTGTGAAAGATGGATGGTCTCTAAGTTTCATTTAGTATGGTTCTAAATTTTGGATATTTTTGTGTTAATAAAGTTTATACAGACTTCTCTGTACTTTTCCTTTTTGCAAGTCCCTTTTTTGAAGTTCATAGTCATATAAATCTCCATTTTCCATGCCCACAATGAATGTCTTCTTTAAATTTCACAGGTGTTGTTTTTCCTTAATTGCAATATATGCAGTATGATTTCTAAGGAAAATTAAAGAATGTTATCAAATATGCAAATGCATTTGTTATTCATTACGTACAGAAATGGGATAATATATTAACTGAGAAACATTAGTAGGAAAATATTAATTTACATGAATGTCTTAACTCCACAAGTGTTTAATTAACCTGGCCTTGACATAATAGATCAAAAAGTAATTATTGTAGAAGATGAACATAGAAAGAAAATAATAGAATAATAATAATAATATCAGTTCCAGTCACCAAATTATTTTTTTGTATCATGAGATGTGTACATGATAACTGTAATATCATCAAAATATCTCTGGAGTCATGTAATAATACTCTGCGATATAATATAATGATGCTACAGTACAAATATATAATACAGATATTAAAGTCAGCCTTTTGAAAACTAAACTGATGTTATCAAATGTTGAAAATATGACTGAATATAGAGTAACACTAAAATAAAAGTCATAAAGAAGCATCTGAAATGGCACTATTTGGCAGAAAGACTGATCTGCTGAAAGTGAAAAGGCAAGGTCACAATCATAAATAGACGCCTCGGCAGCCAAGTTCATACATACTCTGGCAAGATCGAGCTGCTCTACTTCTTGGCAATGCATCTGTCTTCCCAATTTGCCCTTCTTGTTGATTATATTCATGACCTCCGTTGGATGATTTTGCAGTAGGTTGGGCCAGTTCCTTTGACCCAGCAACAGGTGCCACTACTCACAGCTGAGTCAACTAGGCATAGACCATTGACTTTCCAGTAACAAAACTTAAATTCCATCATTAAGGTACCTGGCTAAAATACGCAGTGATATCAAGGTAATTGAGATACGAAAGGGGTTTTTAGCCACTAGAGGATGCAAGTATTATTATTACTACAAGCTTCAGTAAATTTAACTCATACATATTCCCGAACAATTACATATTGAATTATATCATCATTCAGACACATGGCTTTTGTTTGCACTTTTACTTTACTGAAAAATGTCTTCATATCTGCAGAAATTACTTGTCTTTGCACCAAATGTTCATGTTTGATTATATCATCTCAATTCACTGCATTCATTTTCCAAACTGTAATTAATCTATAGTTCCCAAACTGCTGTCAGTGGTATAATTCTAGTTTTCATACATATTGCAGCTTGTGCCCCCAATCCCTTCCTCGTTTTTGTCGCTACGGGTTTGGGGGGCGGCTTAGGCAGCTCTGAAAATTACCTATTAAAAGCCACTATTACTGTTCATTCATTCATGCACATAAGCACATGCACACATTCTGTAATGGTCTCTCAATTAATGTGTGTGGCAGGATCGGAGAAACAAGCAATTGACTGTTGTACACTTCCCCACATTTCCAACTGGTACACCACATGTCAGGAGGTTACATTTTTATCTGGCAATACTTGTGTAGTATGTAGTATATCCTGAGTGCAGAGGTCTAACAATGTGTTTGGTAGGAATAATTTTACAAATATCTACAACAGGAAAGAAATCTGATTATAGAAATTATAGCAAAATGTTAGAACTATTTAAGTTACAACACAAAATACAGATGTATTGTTTGATGTGAAAAATATTCACTATAGGCGTCTTCTATACCTTAACGTTACCGAAAAAGCTTAGCTCATCTTCTTTTTCCCAAGCATGGGACGTCAGGAAATCGGGAGTGACGTCACAGATTGCTGATTGGCCAGCGGGTATGCCGCTGCCAGGCGCAAAAGGTGCGGTGAAACTGTCCTACACCTCAGTCTATGCACAATATTGTTGGAATCACATCCAGAACGTGTATAAAATCGAACGACTTCTCTCTCTCTCTCTCTCTCCAGCAATATAAATGAATATGACCACATAACCACCTTCTGTCTCCCGCTCTCCTCTTTCTCTCCCTTCCCCCCTCCCGTTTCCTCTCCTTCTCTCTCCCTTCCTCACTCCCCCCCCTTCTCTCACACTCACAGTCTTTCTCTCGCGGCAATATAAATAGATGACCAGCAATCCCTCTCTAGCCTCTGGGCTATTACAATGGTAACGTGTCGGCCCCTTATCCGAGAGGTCGGCGGTTGGCGCCCCGCATAGGTGAGAGAAGTTGCAATTGTCACTTGGATGTTACCAATATGGCTGAGCACCATGGTGGTTAAGGACTAAGCTCGGTCGTGTCAGCACTAGCTGACACACATTCATTGCTTCGACATTAGTAGGCTAAGGCCGGGCTCAGCTTCGCATATCAGAATTACCCTTATCCTCTTCAGTTATCATTTTCTTGTCTCTATATTTTTTCCTCTGCGTATTTTGACTTTCCCCTGCCTTTTTTCTCTCCTTCATTCATTCATTTGTTGTCTGTTACAGTGAACGCATTTCGACTCGATAAAAAG